GTGTTTGTCCTTTTAAATGACACAATTTATATCATTTTACTCTCACAAAGAGGTAGGGCTCACACTTTTATATTTTTTTGTCCACTCTCTCCTCTTTTATCTATCTCTTTCTTTCACCTAAAATGACACAATTTTACTTCCTTTAAAATGATACACACTTTCCCCTTATTATTAAAAGGGAAAATCTTTCCCTCACTATGCGAAGCAATAGCGGACCTAGAAATTTTTTTTAATGTATGTACACTTAGAATAAAAGAATAAAGGAAAAAAAATTAAAGAAAATTTTAAATATATTAAAATACAAAAGAATATAAAAAAAATTTAACTTAATATAAAAAAAGTAATCAAGAGTCAACTAAACTATTACAATAGAACATTTTGGGTCCTCAACAAAAATTACGGGCCTCAATTTAATCTTTTAGGAAAAAATATCTACTCTAATCCCTCATAATTCAAAAATAGACCCAGATAATCAAAATCATGGTCTTCAGAAATTCAAAAAGATCCACATTAATCTCTCAAAAGAATTAACATGGGTATATTTTGAAATTTAAAGGGATCACGAGTCGATTTTTTTTAAGAGATTAAATTGGGTCATGTAATTTTTGTTGATAACTCAAAATATATTTTATTCTTTTTTCCAAAAAAATTTGTGTGTGCACTTGCACGCACTTGCAAGTAGGGGTGTAAATGGGGCAGGCTGGCCCGGCCCGGCCTACATTGAGCCCAGCCCAGGCCCGGCCTTTCAGAAAAGTAGAGTAGGCTTAGGCTTATAAAAAAGTTTTTTTAATAAATAGGCCATAGGCCAATTTTGTCAAGCCCAGCCTACAGCCTTGTAGGCTGGCCTATTTAATTTATTAAAATAAAATAATAAAATAATATTTATTTTATGTGGCAAAGACACAAAGTACCAAATACCAATATCTCTTACTTTTTGTGCTATTTTATTTTATGAAAGAAAAACTTGTCTAATGTCTCCAAATTTTACATGCTGTTGCAGCTTAATACCATGGAGCAATGGGTACCTTGCTGGATTATGATGTTACTGATGAAGATCTTTCAATAATACTCTTCTTCCCTTGTCTTGATGGTGGTTTAAAGATTTTTAGATGAATGACATTCTCTTGTAGACTTTATTTCAGCATCCAGTAATTGTATTTTTCTTATTTTTCTCATTTCTTTGACTCTATTCCTCTATGATATACATACTAGAGCTGAGGTATTATGTTGACTCTCTTTTTTTGTCATTTTTTCTTATGAGAAATACTAGTGCATGAGGTATTATGTTGACTCTTTTTTGTTTGTCATTTTTTTCTTATGAGAAGTACTAGTGCATGCATGAATGAACTTTCTTTGCTTTATACAATTATTTTTTTTGCTTAGTATATATAGTGGGAGGCTTACAAGGCCTGTAGGCTATGTCAGGCTTTCTTATTTTTGAAAATGGGCCGGGCTTGGCCTACAAATAAAGCCTTTAACAGGCCAGTAGGTCAGATAGGCTGAATTTTTCTTGACATAGGCTTGGGCCAGAATGGCCAAAGCTCAGCCCAGCCCATTTACACCCCTACTTGCAAGTCAGAGGTCCGCCATTGATGCGAAGCCCAAGACAAGAGTGAGGGCTCATTTTATATTTTTACTTTTACAATGAGATTATGTTTTAAACTTTAATTCATAATCTTTTTGTAAAAAAAAAAAAAAAAAAAACAATCTTGCCTCTGCTTGAAAGCTTGCTCCCTTGTATTGATCGTAGGGAAAAATATTTTTCTGTCACAATTGTATACAAATGAATGTGTTCCACTAATTTTTTTTCTCATTATAACAAGATTCAATCATCTTTATCTGAGCGTGACAAAAAAAAATATAATAAAAGCAAAAATATTAAATCCATATAAGTATACAAATTTGGGAGGGAAATTAAGTTGATCATATGTAACACAGCTTGGCTGCTCTCAACCAAATGTCACTTTCCTAAATGTGAAGAAATCCCTTGAATCTATCTGCTTGTTTAGATTTACAGATATGTCCCTCTACATATTGGTTTTGGTGGCTATTTTTTTTGTCAATAAATAATTACTTTCACTTCTTTTGATTCTTGCAGACCAAAACAAGGTCACCCATTATTTGTTCTTGTGTCAAATAAGTTCATTTGTTTTATTTACTTTTTATTGAATAACCTATTCCTAAATTATTTAAGCAAGATGACAATTTATATTGAGGATGGATAAGATAAGGAAACATACTTGAGAAATCTTAGCGTTGAAAGAACCGTTGCGTGTGAATAAACATGAGGCCTGGAAAGAAAAAAGTTGATGGGTACAATAGAAGATGAAGTCATGATTAGAATTTAGAGGTGCACATTTTGTCTTTAACTTAAGATCTTAAACTTTCGGGTCAAACTTGGGGTCATCCTAATGCATCAGGACACACACTCAAGTGTTCCTTTAATCCAAGATCTTGGAATTGTCCGGTTTGATACTCCAGAGTAGCGTTGGCAAAACGGGTCAACTTAGTTTAACCTGACTCAACCCGTGTTTAATCCGAAAAAAAGAGTCAGGTTAGGGTTGACTCAAAAAAAAAAAATGAGCCAAAAAACTCAATCCAATCTGACCAGAGTCGGGTTAGAGTTAGCTCGCTAGTTGGCTCGAAAAAATGAAAAATAAAATAAAATTTCATTGGTGCTATAACTTCTAAATTTTTTTCGTAAATTATTAATTTATTCAATACAAAGACATTATATAGATAAATCATAGAAAATTTTGCATTTGGACTTGGACTTATTGGCAATTCGCACCGCATTCACACTGTCACACATACTATAAAAAAGGTCCTTAATGCACGGCTTTGGACTTATTGGCAGCTGCAGGATATTTTCGTTTGGATCTTTGAAATTGGAATTTTAGGTTTTAGCTTTTCACTTTACCTTCATTAATATTTATATTTTTATAATAAAAAAAATCATAACCCGTGAGCCAACCCATTTGACCCGTGGGTTGACTCGATTTTTTTCTAGCTAAAATGAGTCGGGCTGACTCGAGTTACTAACTCATTTTTTCTAATGAGCCGGGTTACGAGGCAACCCATTTTTGCCGAGCTGTCTCTAGTTTGCATAATTTCAAGCAGAAGCAATAAAAGGAAATTGAGGAAGAAAAGTAAATTAATTGAACTTGTACTAGTTGTGGATCTTCTTCAGTATGGATTTGACATGATATCGATGAAATTACTAACAGAAACATTGCTAGTGAGATGATTTACATAAAGTATAGATAAGTTATAAAAAGTTATTACACTATATTATGCCAGATATGAACCCCATTAAGTACAAGCAACTTTCAAATGATATATGTAAAAATATACATATGTGCTTTATTATACATATATCAAAGGAAAAAGGCATACCTTTATGATGCAAACTAAAGCACCATTTGGACTCTGGAAAGATAATGAAAATGAAATCAAAGATTTATTATGGTTCCTTAAGTATTGAATTCCACTTCTAAGAAATTGCTATGCCTTCTAGTACTACCAGATCTGCTTTCACTCAGTTATGAAGTGGGTTTGGTCCACCTGGAGTAGATGTAAGTGAAACACTCTGAAATCCACTGACCTTATTATCTTTGATTTCTGCAGTATAATAATTAGTACCATAGACTTGTGGAAATGACAAGGGGAACCTGGTTCTTGTTCTTTCTTCCATTCCTTCCTTACCCCCCAAGGAAATGTGCCTGCAACTTGAAAGATGGAGTATAAAAAGAAGGAACATGATAATTAAGATTGTAGATTTATGAACTCTCATGATGATTCCAAATGTTAGGGGGAAAAGGGTGAGGATGAATACTTCTTGACTTAATAATTTATTTAGAAAAGACTTCTGTTCCCTGTTTATGAAACACTAAAAATAAATACAAGTAGGTAGTCAGCAGGTGTGGTTTAATATTTGCAGAGATAGAATGGAATCAATCATAATTGTGGTACACAGTGTAGACACATGAGCCAAATTATATCTCAATCATACATTGGCCTAGTTGAATAGTTGATGGTCATTGGCCATAAATGCTGGAAAGATTAGGACTGTTGGGTTGGATTGGGTTAAATTTTGGTTGAAATAGATTAGGTAAAATATTTTAAATTTAACCTGATCTGTTAGTCTTATCTTATATAACTCCAAATTATAAGTTTGACTTGACTTATATTTAAAAAATAAAAATCTCATCTTAGCTGTTAGTTTGTTTAAGCCTATTTAGCATTTAATATTTAAAAAAAATAATTGAAATAATATAACTTTATTATTCAAAATATTAAAATAATATTATTTATTTTATTTAAAATAAATAATATAATATAAGTCGACATGTAGACTTATAGGCCCGATATATAAAAGAAAATACATAACCTACTTTTTAAATAATTTTTTTTAAAAGTTTAAGCTTTTTCCATTTCACTATAAGAGTAATGTTGCTTCTACCGATTGATTCCTCACACATGCAATTAAACTCACTTCAACTTCTTGAATGACTCAATCGTGGCACATTCCCTCACTCACGCGTGTGCAACCATCATTATTCAAAAAAAAAAAATTACTCACATTTATATATTAAAATAAAGTAATTGCAATAATTAAGGGTGTTTAAAATGTCTAAAAGAACCAAATCGATCCATAACCAAACTGCTTCACATTTTAAAAATCGGTTATTTTTAAAAATCGATTTCATATGAAACTGCATTTTATTTTATAAACTAGTTATTTACCAAATCATGAAAAGGTTGCAAAGAAAAACAATATCCAAAGTGCTTATAATTTTGAAATTGAAAATTAGGAAGATCAAAAAAACTATATAGCATACCATCATGTGCATGTTGCAGCTGAAAAGGGGAATTCAGTGATTGGAAGCCAGTGTTTAGATTACTTGACCCACCATAAACACAGTAGTGGTAATGGATTACTTGACACTAGGGATAAATTCTTGAGCTTCTGCCAGAGGAATCATTTTCAGTTTGATACACTCTGCCATGCTAAGCATTCCTCAATTATGATCCTTCATCATCTTAAGAATACTACTGTGCTGACAGTCAGAAAAACATGTAGTATTTGTTGTAAAGACAATGAGTTCCAAATGAGTTGGCAATGTAAGATATGTTCATTCACCATCTGCTTAGCCTGCTATAAGGATAGAGGTGCATCTTGTCATGAGCACAAGTTGAATCAATGTTCTTCAAGGGAACTTTGCCGGCCAGAATTAAGAGTTGAAGAAGAAATTTGAAGTGGTATGAACTTGGAATGGATTCTCTGGCTTTATATTTAATTTCATCATTAATTTTTTTTAGATTAAGGAAGCCAACCAGAACAGTGGTAAAGTTGTTCCTTCATGACTAAAAGGTCATGAGTTCGAATTCAGGAAACAACCTCTTTGCAATTATGCAAGGGTAAGGCTGTGTGCAAGGATTGCCTCCACCCCACACTCGCTAGTCTGGTTTGATGGGGAGTGGTTTGGTTTTTTTTTTTTTAATTTGTTTTAGATTGTTGTTCACACATCTTTTGTGAAGTTAAAATTATGGTTACTGGAGTCTGAAAGTTGGAGCTCTATAAAATATTGTTGAAAGAAGGTTATGATTCTATTTTTCAGAATTGCAAATTGGTAACTAGAAATTGCTAGAAAAATGTATATACTAACAAAAAAATGCTTTTAATGGAGTATCACCTCCATAGTCTTTACACAAACACAGTTAGATGTTGTTTTTATAATTTTATTGTTTCCTCTTTGGTTGTGACATGTACACTTGTTTACCAGATAATTGGTCATGCGGTTGCGGAAACTGTTTGAAGTTTTACGGCATCAACTTCAATGTCCTCAATCGAAAATCAACTGTGCTCTCATCCATGGTGTCTTAAAATGAAAAAGTTGGTCTGTCATGGAAATAGTTTCACTGTTCAAGCTTCTCGGGGCTGCCAACCTTGTAAGAAGATATGGTGGTTACTAAATGCACGCACGCTCAAAGCAATGCAGAGTCATGATGTTTGGATGAAAGATCACCCAACACCTAATAACATTGCAGGTGTGTTACTTTTCTTGTTCACAACCAAATAACAATTTTTGGCTAAGTTGTGGTTGAATAAATATTCATTCCTATATATTTATTGTAAGTTTTGCAGGAATCTGAAGAAGAAGCGTTCAGAATGGACATCCATTTAACAACAGACTCAAGATGTTTAGATAAAAGATCACCCAATACCTTCACACATTATTTCTTCAACTGTTGCGTCTGCTTGGGAGAAGGTGGATTTTGTTGTGTCTACAAAGGTTTGCTCATAGATTGGAGAGAAGTGGCTGTGAAGCAGCTTAAAATTGGTGGTGAGCAAGGGGAACGTGAATTCAGGGCAGAGTTAAGGAAAAATATTCATAATCATGATGTTGTAAATTACTGTTGATGTTGAACTTGGATCCTACAATCCAAGGGGGTTGTTCTGTAAGTTCCAGCAATTGTGCTATTATAAGTCCATGATTTAGGATTAAGAACGATATATTTCTTCACCTAAAATTTGATCTATAACTTGACATGTAAATTTGAATTTTTACATGTCAAAACAGACTAGTTCTGGATTGACCTACCAGAGTTAAGGTTGTTGCTGGTGCAGCTCGTGGAATTGCTTATCTACATGAAGACTGTAATTTTTTTCTTTCTAATTATTCTCAAATGTATAGCTATCCATATAAAGACGACATTATCATGGTAGATGGTGTTACATGTTTCTTTCATGCTTTGAGACATTCTTTTAAAATATATATATTTTGCTTCGGAATAAGTATACAAAGTTCTTTAGAAATTTGGCAACCACAATTAAGATGCAAATCATAAATAACTTATAAAGGATATTTTTCTTTCTATACGACTAATAGTTATTAGTTTAATACTTAAGTTGGGCAAGGTAGGGTTGTATTATCATAATTTGATGGCTTGTTCAAGTTCTAATCAATACTTTTTAATCTTTGTTCATTTCATTCCTCTCAGGTTGTAGATTTTATGAACATAATGTATAGATCTGTGATATATTATGCCCTGTTGTTAAGCCTTTTTCAAAATATGAAGCTGAGTCATTGAGATATTGATAATACTCGTTGCGTTTACTGTTCTAGTTATGAGCATATCTAATAGAAATAATGGTCTGAATTGCTAGGTACATGGCACCAGAGTATGCAACAAGTGGGAAATTGACTGCAAAATCTGATGTATATCCCTTAAATTGACTGCAACAGACAGGACTTGGAGCGATATATTAGAAGGCACTCAGTTGGAATAGTTTTTGGCTTTTATTAGAAACTTGAATTTGTTAGTTAATTAGTTGTAAAGTCAATTCAAGAGTGGGTACTATATAATGCAATGACTTTATTGTTATCACACACTTTTATGCATTTACATTTCATAGAGAGTAACTGAGAGTGCTTAGTTGTGAAAGGGGATTTTCTCTATGAAGAGGATAATTCCCCTTGTAATCCTTTCTGACAATTTAGCAATAAAGACACTATTTTCTGTTCTTCTTTATGGTGTATCATTTCTTCAAACCCTTTCTTGATTTCTGGTTGTATCATTTTTCATTTGGAATTCAGCTTAGCAGATTTACAGGAGATAGCATCATTTACTTAGACCAATTTCTTGAGTGATTTCCACTTTTATTGTAAGTAGGGATCCTTGTTTATTGGGAAACATTTTGTTTTACAATTGATCTTTTATAGTGTATATCTGCAGGACTAAGTCCTATGTATTTTAGCATTCATGGAAGTTTTCGTAGTTGAAAATTATTATTCTTATCTATCTATAATACAAATGATTGTGATGTTTTTGCTTCGTATATATTTTTCTCCTGATAGTTATGTTAAGCTTGAAAGGTGTTATTTTGTGCATTGTAATGTGCAGTATATATCCCTTTTCCCAACAATTGACTGCATAGGTAGTCTCATCTTTTCTTTATTATGTTCTTACTTCAGGTTTTGGTGTTCATGCCAGATTGTCTGGCTATCTTCCTGTAGTAAGTTTGTGTAATTTTATGGTGTTAGATTCAGGGATAGTTCATATTGACAAAGTTTCATGTTTCTCTTTTTTTGAGGGGCTGTTTTTTGTTATTTAGTTAGCATTTGATTTTTTTTATTCTTTGTTTTTTTTTCAAAAAATCTTAAACCTAATTATGAGGTGGATCAACATGGATAGTCATTTTTATTTTTGGTTCTTGCTATTCTTAATCCAAATTATGGAATGAATGTATGGATATCAGGATATGGGTGATCATGTTTCTGCCCTTGCTAAATTAACTACTATTGGAAAGTTATTCGTGTTATAAGAGTTGTTTGTTTGTAACTGACATTAAATGTGTCTGGCATGGAATCAAGAATCATGATTACATTGCAAGAGCTAGTATGCTACACGAAAATTAGTGTGTAAGCATTTTTTTGGTCCAATCATACTCCTATGGTGCCCATCCAAAAAAGCAGAAGCACCTTCAAGTTGATGTTGAATGAAGAAACAAAATAAAGTTTGCATGCATATTTTGTTCAATTTGTTTCTTTCACGGGTACTATGACAGAGTCCTGATGCTTGTGCTTGTTATTTTTCAACTCATGGGCTCGATAGTTTTGCCTTAAAGTGTGAAAAATATTAAGGCTGAGACTTGAACTTTATGGATAAAGAAGGCTTCCTCTTTCTATTGAGAATACAATTAGTTCCTCTTATATATATTTATTTGTATGATATATTCGCAAGTGACTCCAGATTTTGTCTGAAATATACCTAGCCACTAGTTGAGGTGCAACATCAACAAAAAGCATTTTTCAATAAGCAGGATAAAATAAACTTATTCACATGTTTGATTTGTTAGAAAAAAATAAGGATAAAATCAACATCAACCATCAGCACAACGTAACTTGGCTTCTACTTCTAAAGATGTCTCTTCAATGCTAGCTACTAAAGCATTTGCTTCAGCCAACTTTGAGTCTCCTGTAAATTTAATTTTTGCATGCTATGACCGCATTTCTCGCAGAGCCTTCTCAAGCTGTTGACATATGAGTTTCCAAATATCAGCAAGAAATAACCATACTTCAGTGTTATGATAATAAAAGCATCAACAAACACAAACTATCCCGCCAATAAGGTTTCACATAAGAGGCATGCATTTTTAAATAAGCGAAAAGTTAACATGTACATTAAAAAACTTACATCAAGCACACACTCTTTCTCAACACCCAAGGCCTTCCTCAGATTCTCTTCTAGCTTCTCTGCCTCAGATAGAGCAATTAAATGAGCTGCTTTTTCTCGTTCTATAGCATCCTTCACTTCTACTAAATCTTGACTCAGTTAGAGCAATCAAGAGAAGACCCATATTGAATTGGTACTCATAAAGCTGGCCCAAAGAAGCATATAATCATGAGAAACCACAAAATAAACTTTAAAAAGGATAATACTGTGGACTGATGATGGAAATAGGTCGCATGAGAAAATATTTGATATGGGGTGTAGCATCTTGGATAAACTCAAAGTTCATTCATTCTTTCTTGATGGAGACTAATACTATCAAGATGCATAGGCTGGTGCAGGACATGGGCCTTCGTATCAGTAAAGAGAGTAAAATATGTTTTGAACCATTCTACACAGTGGACGAGAAGGACCAATCTGATACGAATGGAATTTTGAGTAATATCAAGGGCATCCTCCAGCTGTAACCCAAGACTAATCTTCAATTGAGCACTGTTGGACCCTTTCGGAGACGGCTCTTCCAAATCTTTTTTTCCATTTCCAGGACTCGAACTCAAAAAATACAAATGGAATTTTTTAATGCGCTTCAGGACCACCGCGGTCCTTCTACTCAAAAATTGACACTTGTATTAAATTTTTTTTTCTCTTCTCTCTCCTCAACTTTTTCTCTCTTTTGCTCTCCTCAATCCCACCAATTTTTTTTTGATCTGAGACTACTGTAACTTCGCTCGATGGGAAATGGCCATTTGAGAGGTGGCGTCCCCGGTCTACCTAAACAGACATGTTTTTTGGTAAAAATTAAGGTATAATTTATGTGAAAAGAGAAAAAAATAGTTTTAATATCATAATTATTGACAAAGTATATTATTATAAAATGGACTATCTTGTGAGAAGAGATGTTAGAGATATATAAAATTATTAATGTATCATCATCCAACAACTTAAACTTTTGAGTTGAATTAGTTCTTTATATTATATATATTTGGAAAAAAAACATCTAATGTTATTTTAAAAGTAAAAATCGTAAATTGCAAGTCGGAGTTCATGAAGTGTCCATATAGTGTGTGACATGGGTAAGTGTCCAACATGGGTACGGAGTCTGTGCTTCGTAGAAAGAAACAAAAGGTTTTGGCCACTATACATGTTTATGTATTCCAAAACATGATATTTATGGTGATTTAATCTTGATCCAGTTATGAATCAGCCAATTATATGGCATAAGATAAGTTTTTCTTGCAGCAACGTAAGAAACTGATTACCCAAAAATAAAGGTCTTTTTTTTCTTATGTTTCTGTAAAAAATTTATCTTATGTCACTCATTATAATTATGTATTAATATTAAAATTGTTTTCTTTTTTAGTTATGAAATTTGTCGAATGCAAATTTGGGAAAAGGAACAAAATTAGATAGTTGAGGTTAACTCCGTTAGACAAAATTTTAGTTCAAGGGAGTAAGTTGTATTTTAGTCTATTATCAAATATATATATATATATATATATATATATATATATATATATATATATATAGGGAGGAGTTATATTAACAACACAAAGGCAATAACAGAAACATGATAAGAAAATAAACGTATCTAAGAAAACAAGGGAATTTCTAGGAGCTTCTCTTTTATGGATTGTGTTGCTATAATAGTCCCCACCCTTCAAAAACATCCCCATTCTCGAGGCTCAGGATTACCAAGAAGAAGACCCAAAATGCAAAAGATAAAGATGCACAGCAGCATTATATGGAGGTAATAAGCAAGCCAAAGAAGTAAAAAATCATTCTTGTGCTCCTTTACCATGACCCTCCTAATCCTTTTAGTTTTCAGAAATTGCACAGACATTTCATATCACAGAGTGAGAATTAGCATCTGTATTGACCAACTTCATAGGGTGATTTGCCATAGTCATATCTGAACCAATCTTAGCATGCACCAACATTGTCCCCAAAACTATGGTAGTACGTAGGTTTCATTGACATGTGTTTTAAGGCATTTGCTTACCAGCAGCAACCAAGAGTCTCAGGCTCCCAGCTTAGCACAAACAAATAGCATCTAACAATAGTGAACTCATGTGGCTCAAAATTGTTATGAAAAATTAAATTAAATATTTTTAAAAAAAATTGAACAAAATATGGTGTTCACACTCGACGTCCAATTTTTCGAGGTCTATGGAACGAATTCCCTATAAAATACCTCATCTATTATACTCGGCTATCAACAAAGTTGCGACTAAGTCCTTTTTTAACAAAATTTTGAGGCGAGCAAAAAAAGCACGTTTTATATAAAATTAGGACAATTAGCCAACGTAATTTATTCAATCCGTGAATGCCAAATAAATTATTTTTAGAAAAATTATTTAATTTAAGTTATATTTTTAATTTCATCTTGGTCTTTTAATATATTTTGGAAACAAAACGACAAAAAAATAAATAAATAAAAAATAATTTTAATAAAAATCAATGTGTAAAGAGGAAAGTAAAATTTTCAAAATATACTATATTTTTTTTCCTAAATTCCAAAATAATGTCATTTTGATATTGCTAGCAATAATTTTATTTTATGTTATTAAAGGAACATTTTCCTTTTAATTAAATCTGACTTTTTTTTTTCATACTATCCTTTCCATTTTTACCATCCCCGTCTTTCTTCTTCATCAAGTTAAGAGTGGTTATATAGTAAAATATAATTGTTACTACTAATTAATCTAAGCATGTTAATTTTTTTGAATATTATAAATTAAAAAAATTATATATTCTCTTTACAAATTTTCCAAACAAGTTTGTTAAAACATTGATCATTCCTTTACTAATTGAGAGAACCGTACATAACAAATCAAAATTCGTAAAGAAAGTTTCAACAGCTTTTCGATTGATCAAAATTCCAAGAAAGAAAGACTTCCATTAGAGTGCACTTTAGGGATAATGGTGAATTCACTGATTTATACCATATAGATGTTGGTTTATAGTGTTTTGCTTAAGCCCATTTGGGCTAAGTGTACGATAAGAGTCTAAAAAACATAGAGCTTAGGACTAAGGTTTTTTAGTATTTATATTTATATTATTACTTAAGTCATCGGCTTCTCTCGTCAGTCAATCGAAAAAGTTAAGCTCATATCTGAAAAAATATCCACATACCATCCCCTTCCCCCTTGAGAAATAGTCTGTAGAATCTGCCACTAGCCAGCTTCAACAAGAAAATTGTTCGTGCTGGGATGCTGATCAAACCAGTTCATGAAGTCACACCTGCATAAGGGGAATCGTGTTGGATCTGCACTA